AGGATGGCTGAATATTTGTGTTGTATATTGTTATATTGATCTGACCCTTATTCCGGGTATATATAGGAATACAACGTGGGGTGAGACTTGGTGTACAAGACAAGTCGTAGTATATTTAAACTATTCTATCTCTACTCCTTATCTCTACACAATTATACTTCTAACATTTCCCCTCAGTCGTAGCGGGAGTGAAGCGGACGATTGCGACTGAATGTAAAGTCTTGCGCTTCCATCGTCTTCTCTGCTTCGCCTTCATTATTGCGTCAGCACCTAGGGCGGTGACTGCATTCCCTTCCAGTGTCTTCCTTGTCTCTCCTCTATTCCCTCCCGCAGTCACAGCGGGAGTGGCGTGGATGTTGGTGACGACGCGGACGCTGGTGACTGGAGTTGTTGCCGATGAGTAGCTGTAGACGTAGCCATATATGCTGATGTTGAGGTAGCCGATCATGGTGATGTAGTCATGGTCGAGGTAGTCGTGGTCGATGGTGTAGTCATCGTAGATGATGGAACCGCACAAAGCTAGGGGCGCAAAAAAAATGCGCTACGATGGAGCTGCAGACGTAGAGGATGCACCTTGCGGATGTCAGAGGGTGTCGTCGGCGATGAGTCCACCGGTTTTGCCAAGACCGGCGGAAGCCCATCGAGCACACATCGGTTTTGCCAGAACCGTATGGCCAAGTAGGGTCGTCACTGAAGTGACGTCGTGTCGATGCAGTCGTGCCGTCGTGAAGGACGCGGTCGATGCCGTCGTCGTGACGCGGTCATTGCCGTCGTCGGGGGCGCGTCTTGCAAAAAAGTCTGTCAGAGGACGCTAGGTGTCCATCTTGTGAACGAGGTGGCGGCGGTGTGTTGACGAAGATGTTGATGAAGACCACGTTGATGAAGACCTTGGCGATGAAGTGTCGGCGATGGGGTTGCAGCGGCATGTCGACAGTGATGCGTCGCTTGAAGGCGTCCCTCTGCGTCGAGGAAGTGTCGAAGCCGTGTGGTGCTCAAGAAGTATGTTGCTCGATGCAGTGATTCGGGGTCGATGAAGACTATCTGGTGTAGTGCCCTCCCGTGATCGGAGACACGGTGCGTCGTGTAACATCTCGATGCAGTCTGATGCTGGCGCGTGCTTGAAGTTTCTCATCGCTGAAACCTGCATGCGAACATGTAATCTGCTGGTCACTTTGGGTCCCACGTCCATGCATGTGGCGTGGATGGTTCCAGATCGAAGTCGCTTTGCGCCTGAGCTGGATGGAACCGCGGCGTCGCGTGGTTGAAGCTGGCTGCTCCAGCGCCTGGGGTCGGCACGCCTGCTCCGGATCGTGCAAGCGCCGACGTACGACGCTGATCCGCGAAGAAGCCACACAAATCTGGCCTGCTCGACGAAGCTCGCAGGACGATGCGTACGGCTGGTGTAGACGTAATGCTCGGTGTGCAGCCGGTGGCGTCTTGCCGACGTCGACGTCTGGCTCGATCAAGTGCATCTAGTCTTGTTGCATGCATCTCCAGATCTCCTTGTAGGAGATCAGTTTGCGTGGCCGTGTGCTGGCTCCTGGATGGATACGTGAGCATGCAAGTTTTCTTTGCACGAGCGTACCTATGCATGGCTGGATGGACCTTTGACGATGGAGACTGCTCGAGGAGGCTTGGTGGAGTGCGGCCGCACGCTTTTTGTTGATGCAGATCGAGTAGCCGGATTCGGAAGATCGCCCTTCTGCGATTCCAAACTTCCCTGGTGGACGACCTGGTGCTTCGTAGCCGCGTATACATACGCTGAGCTGACACCGATCTTCAAGATTTATTTGGTAGCTAACAAAAAATCTACGGGATGGAATTGCGAAATTGATCTAACATAAACTAAAGAACCGATCTAATCTTTGATAAATCGGGTGTCGCGCCCCTGAGGAGAGGAGATTAATCTCCCCGGGGGCAGCGCGCTGCGGAAGTGGTGGAGAGGCCTAGGATCGGCGTCGTGAGACTAATCGCTCTAATACCATGTAGAAAATTGTAGGATGGCTGAATATTTGTGTTGTATGTTGTTATATTGATCTGACCCTTATTCGGGGTATATACATGAGTACAACGTGGGGTGAGACTTGGTGTACAAGACAAGTCGTAGTATATTTAAACTATTCTATCTCTACTCCTTATCTCTACACAATTATACTTCTAACACAAGTTGCTATGAATTGTCTTTGTTGCATTTTTTTTGTATTGTTCATTGAAAAGACATTCTTTCGGTCTGTCTTCTCTTGTATTGTGTTTGGGTACAACCCACTTTGTTATAATATTCCGTTACTGGCTTACTCAAGCGATACAAAAAAAAACTTTCGGTGCTCCCTAACAGTTTCCATGTCCCAATCCTTTCTAGGGATTCTAAGTAATTCAAGTGATTGTTTCCGCTATGAGAATAATGACAACAAATGTAATTCAACTTATATTTACCATTAGTTTTTTTCTAACTACAAAATGCAGCAGCTAACCAATACTATTATTTGGTCCTCTCCTTGTATTGTTTTCTTGCGCTGACTGAAAACATCTTATCTTTTTCAGATATAAGAGATGATATGCCTGATGATTTATCTCCATCGGCACAAATTGATTATGACAGACTTCTGGGTGGCCTTCTGGTCGAGGGATTTGATGAAAGATCGTGTCGCAGCAGGTACCAGTTTGCACGTTATCACAGGAATGCAGCAAGAGTACCTTCTCCATACCTCATAGAAAGATTAAGAAGGCAAGAAGCACTGCAGAAGAAGTGTGGTCCAGGCACCAAATCATACAACAATGCTGCAAAACAGCTCACGTCCACTCAGAGCATCAACGGCACATCAGATTGCAACTATCTCTTCCTGATAATCCATGCCGGGATGGGGAACCGGATGCTTGAGATGACTTCAGCGTTCCTTTACGCGCTTCTGACAGGCAGGGTTTTGCTCGTGGACCGTTCTAAGCAGATTGCCAGTACTTTCTGCGAGCCTTTCCTTGGAACTTCATGGTTGATTCCTTCAGATTTCCCTCTGAGCTATAATGAGTTCACCGAGCGTAGTCCAGAGAGCTACGGCAACATGTTGCAGGATAATGTTATCCGTGGCAACACATATCGGTCTCTAGCCAGTGATAGGCCTCCCTATGTGTTCCTCTATCTTGACGGCGATTGCGCTTCCAACGACAAGCTTTTCTACTGCGAAGATGATCAACAGTTCCTGCAAGGTGTGCCGTGGCTGATCATGCAAACTGACATGTACTTTGTGCCGTCTCTGTTTCTTATCCCAAGTTTCCAAGATGAACTGAGCAATCTGTTTCCTGAAAAGGACACCGTTTTCCATCACTTGGGCCGGTATCTTCTTCATCCAACAAATGATATTTGGTATTCGGCGACAACTTACTACAGGGCGTACCTTGCTAAAGCTGATAAAGTAGTGGGGATACAGATCAGAATACTTGAAACGGAGGGCATCCTCCAAAGAAATGGGGCATTTCCACATGTTTTAGAGCAGGTCCTTTCTTGTGCTCAGGGTGAAAAGTTGCTGCCAGAAATCGGCTTGACCGATGAAGCAGCCACTGGGAATAATCGGACAATTGCTGTTCTTGCGACTTCTTTAAGCTCTTGGTACAGTGATCAGATCCGGGTAAGGTACAGCGAGCACCGGACCGTCGACGGCACCAGGGTCAAAGTGTACCAGCCGAGCCACGAGGAGTACCAGAGGTCCAAGAACAAGAAGCACAACATGAAGGCGCTGGCGGAGATCTACCTGCTCAGCATGAGCGATGTGCTCATGACCAGCGGGTACTCCACCTTCGGGTACGTCGCGCAGGGCCTCGCCGGCCTCACGCCGTGGATCATGTACAAGCCCGAGAAGAACCTGTACAAGCCCGAGAGCCATGTCGTGCCGAAGCCGCCATGCGGACGCGCCATGTCCATCGAGCCGTGCTTCCACCAGGCCCCCTACTTCGACTGCAAGGCCAAGAGGGACGCCGACCTGGGCATGGTGGTGCCGTACGTGAGGCACTGCGAGGACGTCAGCTGGGGTCTCAAGATTGTAAATGAAACTCGGTTGTAGCTGTAACTTTTCTTTTCTTTTCTTTTCTTCACACGGTAACACAATTGCTTGCTAAGATATAGAGGGTAGGCTTCTCTTTTTTTACAGGAAAATATGTTCCACAGATGTAATTTTTTTTCCATCTCGTGCATTTGATCCGAACTGTAGATAGTTGATAAACAGGTTCATCAATAGGAATATACTATAGTTGCCATGTTTCCTGTCATTCTTACTTACCGGGGCATTGTTTTGCACTTATTGGGTGGTGTTTGTTGAGTTTTCGAGGGCATGTAACTCAACAGCAATGTACAGCATAGAGAACAATACCCTCGATCAGGGCATGTCTCGTGAGAATGAGTTGAAGTGAAACAACTGAAAACAGGTTCCGAAACAACCTGCACACCTCTCACGAGGCCAGTGCGCCAGAAGCTTCCGAAACACACCACATACCTCCTTTCGCCGCCACGCAACATATCCGCGGTCGGTGCTTGACATGATGCTAAACTGCTGCCGAAGACCCCCATGTCATTCGTCGTAGAACACACACAGTGTGAAAGACAACTCTGTAGCCATCTTAATTGGTACTCCCTCCGTTTCTAAGTTTTTTTAGAGATTTCAATACAGACTCCATACAAAGCAAAATGAATGAATGTACACTCTAAAATATGTTTATCTACATATGTGTGTAGTTTTTATTGAAAAATCTATTAAAAAAAGACTTGTATTTAGGAGCGGAGGAAGCAGTTTTGAAATATTATGAATATTATTGCGTTTTTCATATATATGATAGGAGTAATAAAGATGTGGATACATGCATGTCTGGATTGGAGAGGTGATTTTAACCATGATACACCCGCAAGAAGAGTAGACAAACAAAACCCATGTACTAAAATTCTACTAGCAGAATTTTACTTGTGATCGAGTTTGGGGTCTAAAACCGTACGTGTAACTAGTGCCTACTAGGTACTACTACTTGGGGTCAACAACAAGCTTTAGGCCCCATCTCACGTCCTGGCAGCGGCGGAGATGCGGCACCGACCTCGCCGTGTCCGCCGTGTGTTTGAGCTTGCAGTCGTACATGGGCGGCGTGTGGAAGCAGGGCTCCATGGACACGTCCCGGGCGCAGGGCGGGTCGGGCGTCTCGCTGACGTTGAGCGGGCGGTACATGACCCACGGCGTGACGCCGGCGAGCCCCTGCGCGACGTACCCGAAGGTGGACCAGCCGGAGGTGACGAGCACGTCGCAGAGGCTGAGCAGGTACATCTCGGCCCACGCCTTGGTGTCGTGCGACCTCCGGCCGAACTGCTGGTACTCCTCGTGGCTCGGCTGGTGCACGCCCACGTCCTCGCCGCTCGCCGTCGGCTGCTCCCAGTACATGCTCTTGATGCGCTCGTAGAACCACGGCCTGAGCGAGGCGATCAGGACGGTCCTGGACACGCCCCCGGGAGCCGGCGTGACGGCCGGCTCGCCGGCGGCGAGGAGCTCCGGGAGCAGCTTCTCCTTCCACACGCACGACGTGATCTGCCGCAGGATGTGCGGCGACTTGCCCTGCTCGCTGTCGAAGACGCGTAGCTGGATGCCGACGAGCTGTTCCGCACGCGCGAGGTAGGCGCGGTAGTACCGCGAGACGAGGCCCCAGACGTGGTCGGCCGGGTGGAAGAGGTACCGGCCGAGGTGGTGGAACACGGCGTCGCGCTCCGGGAAGAGCGCGGCGAGCTCCTCCGCGAAGGACGGGACCTGGAACAGCCCCGGCACGCTGTACGTGTCCATCCTCGCCACCAGCCACTGGATGTTGGACATGAGGCGCTGGTCGTCGTCGCAGAAGAACCTCTTGTCGCCGTCGCCGTAGTCGTGCTCAAGGTAGGCGTACGCCAACGCCGGCACCTGCATCGGCGTCGAGTGAGTCGAGTCCGTCGTGAGCACCTTGTTCTTGAGCATGTTGCCGTAGGTCTCGGCGGCGTCGACGGTGATGTTGGCGAGGCCCGCCACCGGGAAGTCCGGGGGCAGCAGCCACGTCGCGCCGGGGAAGGGCTCGCAGAAGAGCTCGCCCATGCCGTTGCCCCGGTCGACGAGGAGGACGCGGTCGGTGAGCAGCGCGTAGAGGAACGCGGACGCGGCGGCGAGGATGCGGTTGCCGAGGCCGCGGTTGCAGACGGAGACGACGTACTTGCACTCGGCGTCGACGGCGCTCCTGCCGGCGCTCAGCTGCTGGACGGCGCGGCCGTACGCGTCGCTGCCGGGGCCGCACCGCCGCTGGAGCTCCTCGTGCCGTCGCAGCCTCGAGACGAGGTGCGGGGAAGGCCGCCGCGGCGTGCTCCGCCGGTACGCGGAGGACTCGTGCCTGCTGCGGCATGTCTTCTCGTCGACCCCGTCGGCCAGGAGGCCGCCGAGGAGTTTGTCCGGCGCGTTCCTCGCGTACGGCAACCAGGCGTGACCGGAACCTGCATGCACGTGAAAAGAGAAAGTTTAGCTCGTCAGAGTCAACTTCATCGGGCACGAACAGTGCTAGCGTCAGTTGGCACACCACTGCCTCTACACTGAAGCAACAGTGGACTGGGGTTTGGAGATGCTCTTATGTGCAACAGTGCAAGCAATATGGCTAACTTTCAGTTCGGTAAGCAGTGACCCCTGTCTGCACGATGCTGCTATTACAGCTGCCGATGCTGCGCATATGTAGCCTGCGGCAGACTGGAAAGAAACGCAAAACTTGGACAAATCTATGGTCTAAGATTACAACTGCCAGTCTACCCCGATCGAAACACATACTATTGTACAGAGACTTGTAAGCATGCATGTATGATACTGTGTGCGAAAACTAAGCTTTGGTTACCTCGACGCAGCTGGGCTCCGGCAGCGGCGATCCAGACCGCGGGAGCGCGGCCGCCGTCGACAAGAAGGACGACGGCCAGCAGCACGGCCACGACGAAGGCGACGAGCAACAGGTTGACCACCGGCCTGCACCGCCTCTCACCGGCGCCCGGCTGCCTCCTCTTATTCTTCTTCCGCGGCGTCATGGAGCACTGGTCCTCCGCCTCCTCCGCCTCCAGCAAGTCGCGCGCCGTGGCGGTCCTCGGCAGCACGGCCGCCGGCGACGCCTCCTGCTCCGTGGCGCCCTCCGCGCACGCCTTGGGCGCCTTGCGCTGCTGCATCGCCGACGCGCGCCCGGTGTGCCCCGGCTGACCAACTGAAGCTAAGCAGAGACGTCTATCTATCTATCTAAGCAGAAACTGCGGCGGGGTCTGCACGGGATTTGTTTTAGTCGATCGATAACGCATTGGATTTGTCAAATCTTAAGAGCTACTACGGTCTACGGCCTGTCCTGCACCGCCGCTACTGAAAACAGGACAGGAGCAATTAATCACACCGTAGAATAATGTAGGATCGTACTGGCACTTGCGTGCATGCTTTTTGGATCGCACCCGCGAGTCCACGGTTCATCGTCAAATGTGATTACGCAGAGCCACAGCAGCGAATCACGAGCCGAGTGCTGATGCTAAACCAACTGAAACGAAGCTTATCTTTTGCCCCACTTGCGCATGGTTATAAAAACAGAGTTTTTTTTAAAAAAAATAGAGTTGTTTAGTACTACTCCCTCCGTTTCTAAATATATTTTTTAAAAATTCCAATGCAAACTACATACGAAGCAAAATGAGTGAATCTACACTTTACAATGAGTCTATCATTTAAAAACGGAAGATGTATCCCACTAACCCACGGGAGTTCAGGGCCTCTTTTGATTCACAGATTTTTTATAGAAATTTCGGAGGATTAGAATTATTAGAAACTCCGCTCTCTTTTTTTTTAGAAGATCTTAGAAAATTCCCTAAGTGGTCATTTAATTCATAGGATTGGATCTTGTTGAGATTTTTTTCTAAAGAATAATTTGTTCCACGTTCCAAAAGAAATTTAGCAACCACTCCAATCCAATCTCAACGGAAAATTACTTTTCTGTGAAGCAATCAAATACACAAATCATGTAGGATTCAAATGGACAATGTCAGAGAAGCTTATAACGCATGTGTTTATCGCCTATGTATCCTATCTAATATCTATAACACCTCTGGTCCAAATTATAAGACATTTTGGATATTTTAAAATAAACTACCACTACTAGAGAAAACCCTAGTAGTAGCGCTGGTTTTGTGCTCACTAGTAGCGCGGGTAGGCGCGTTACTAATAAGGCGCTACAGCTATTGCTTAGCAGTAACGCGTGCCGCACGCGCTACTGCTAGGACAAATAGCTGCAGCGCTTGTTCACTCCCACGCTGTTGCTAATGTAACTACTTGCAGCGTGTTTTCTTTCCATCGCTACTAGTATTGTTTTTTTGTTTTTTTGTTTTTAGTTTATTTATGCGTCATCGTACAAATATTGGTACAATACCAGTTATGAGGTTTACATCATTATGTCCATAACAGTGTGTCAAATGAAGGTGGATTAGGTTCAAGTGGAGGCAATATGTGGTGCATGTCAAAAGTATACTACTAATCCAAACTTGATCTAGTTTGGACTAGTAGTACTTTCGATGTGCACCACATGTTGCCTCCACTTGAATCTAATCCGCCAGCACAAGCTATTTAATCATCATCATAATCATTAGCACCAACAATATTTATTTAATCACCACTAACACTAGCTAATAATAATCATCAGTCATTACCACCAACACTAGCTATTTTATCATTATAGTAATAGTGTAGCACATCATCATCCTCAAACTCATTTCTAACTAATCACTCCTGCTGCTCTCTCTTAGGTAAAACAACATAAAATATGTGTAGCTCTCCTCCTTGATCAAGTTGGAGCATGCAGATAAACCTGTCTCCTAATTTTGGGTAGCACATCTGTTTGCTGCCCCCTAGTACTTGTCTGCGCTCCCCCATCACATATCTGGTCCAGTCTTGCACTATTAAGCATTCATCGCTGATCTTGAATGCACTAAAGTAACATGTAGGATATCTTGGCCGTAAGCTAATAATACTCATGGTACCTTTAGTCTCGATCCCATAAGGCACAACATTCATCGGGAGTCCCTGTTGAAGAACACCGTATGGTCACATACTTAACAATGAAGTTTAGCTTCACAAATAATGTATGGAAAAGATGCACTGAGGACAAATAGTAAAAATCTTACCATCCTTCCTAAATAGATGTGACCGTAGTTCATGACGAACACTATTGGTCGCATGTTTTCAGTACTAAGATTTCTAAATCCAGGAAGAAAATTTGTCTTGACGGTATCAAGATCTTCAAGCCATGAAACATAATGACTTAGCTCCTCGCAGTTTAGTTCAGCCCCGAGATAGTAGTAGGTCCTGTCTACCAAGCGCTGGACATGTTTGCTTGCACTGAAATAAGCTGATAATACAAATTAGTTGTCAACTATTTTTGAATAAACAATATCAAAGACATAAATATGGTTGAGAAACTTACATTTTGGTGTAACTGGAGGCGTCTGCACATCGACCCAGATGTCGGTATTACCTTCAATATCATCTTCCGGACGAATATCAAAGGTGATAACCATATCAGGCTGAAATGCATAAGTCTTGCATAGTGCTCGCCATGTTTTGCATCCAAAATAGATGTAGTCGTCTGAATTGTATAATTTTGCATGGAAAATATAACCATGCTCAGTCTTCAAATAAACTTTCTTTACCTCCATAGTATGACTGAAACCTATCTTATCCAATACAAAAACTCTTGCATGGCAGGGGATACGCTAGTAGAATAGTAAAAAAATAAGTTGAAGCAAATGAAGCAGATGTCATGCTTAATTACGAAAAAAAACTTGTCGTTGTGACTTACTGTATCCACTTCGAAATTCTCGTCCAGCTTGATGCTGAAGCGCCTATCATCATCTAGGAAAATTCCGTCGCACAGGCCGCGCTCGTCTTCGTAGTATTTGCAAATACCGAAATCCTTTTTGTCGTCAGACATTTCCTACGTTCATAGTTAAAACATTAATTGAAAATCGATAGAAGACAACTACCAGGATACTCAACACACAAATCCGGGGCACTCGATATTTCCTACATATTCTGGCAAAAGTCATGTCAAAATTCACAAAAAAATCCGGCATGACCTTTGCTAAAATAGGATATATCGAGCGCCTGAAATTTGCCGGAACGGAAATGAATCAACACTCCGGCAAAACATAGGCCACTCGAAGGTGTAACCTGCAAACATGACCGGCCACTTGGATATTGAGCAACACAAGATATACATTTCAAAATATCTTATAAAACTCAAATTAGCATGCATTCAATAAGCAAAAGTAAATCATCTCATGCGTCCGTACATCATCGAATAGTATCACTAATACATCCTGAATAGTGTCATACATATAACATCACTAGTACAATTAAAACCCTAGCACACAACGGGTATCGGCGCGGGCGGTGGACACCCACAGAGAAGGAACCATCACGGGATCATAGCTCCAGTGAGATCCCTGGAGAACCTGCCAGGTATTGGAGAACCTGTGCTCCAACGCAAACAAGTAGCGATGGACGTGCGCGTCCTCCTCACTGACACGGTGACGCACCACCTCCGTGGAGTCCTCGAGCCTCTGGACCGTCACTGGCCCATGCGACCGCCACCAAAAAAGGTTCGGGTCAACGACAGGCTGGCTCCTCACCAACCTGCGCCCCCCGGTAGGTAGCGCCTCCCAGTACCACCCCGGCGGAGCCCAGTCCCAGACATGGCCCATCTGGTCAAGCAGGTGTCGTCCTCTGCCAACTCGACGATGAGGATGCGGGATAGGCATCGTCCACGTCGATGCGGGGAAATTGCTTTAACTAAAAAATAGCAACAAGTTCTTCCTAACTAGTTCTATTAATTCAACTAGTTCTTACTAAAAATAAACTTACTATAAATAAAATATTCTAGTACCTAATTAGTACCTAGTTCTTACTAACTAATTAGTACCTAAGAACTACTGCCCTAATTTACCATCTAATTTGATGAACCTATAGGGGTGGAAAGTGGTAGCGGATATTCCAATTATCCAACTATAAAGTGAAATAAGTGGTCAAATTTTACTCGTTTGATGATTCATCTTAGAAATTTGATTCGCTTCCACCCTTACATGAACCCTAACTCATTTGAGCCGCATCCGCATCCGATTCGTTTCCACCCTAACTAATTTGATGGAGGTAGAAACCCTAGGCAGAGGTAGGGGAGAAGGAGGAGCAGGCGTGCTCACCTCGGGTGCCTGCGACGAGGGAGGGGCAGGCAGCGTCGAGGTCGTGGTCGGGGCTCCGGGGCGGCGTTGAGGTCGGGGGTGGGGGCGGCGTCCGGGGCGGCGTTGAGGTCGGGATCGGGGGCGGCGTCCCGGGCGGCGTTGAGGTCGGGGGCGGGGCCGGCATTGAATCTGGGGTCGGGGCGACATGGGGAGAGCGTGCGGCGGCCGAGGGGCGACGGCGGCGGCGAGAATGGAGTTGATTTGGGGGATGAAGTGGCCGTGGGGAAGGACGAACCGCGTGGTTAAGTCAGAAGTACCAGTAGCGCGTTCCAGAAAGGGCGCTACTGCTACGTTAGCTACAGCGCGTTCTGGAATACAGGCTGCAGCTATAGCGATTTTCTGCAGAACCCGCTACTGCTATTCCTTTCTCCTTTTTTCCCTTTTTTCTTTTATTTTTCTTTACATTTTATTTTTTCCCTTTCTCCTTTTTCCCTTTCTTTCATTTTCATTTACTTTTCTACTTGTTTTTCACTTTATTTTATTTCTGTTAGCAGCAGCACTTTACACGTAAGCGCGCTGCAGCTAAGGAGATTAGCAGTAGCGCTGGGCCATTATACACGCTACTGCTAGGTTGGGCTAGCCATGTGCGCCCAGTTCAAACGTAGTAGCAGCGCTTTTCGCTAGTACGCGCTACTGCTAAAGTCATAGCAGCAGCGCGGTTTATTTACGCGCGCTGCTAGCTGCTACTAAGTAGCAACAACGCTTGATTTTGTACAGCGCTACTGGTAAAATTCTATGTATAGCCTTTTCCCTAATAGTGTACATACAGATTGACATGGGTGAACGAACACACTAAAATCTATCTATATGCATATATTCAAAATAAAATTTAGAACATCTTATAGTTCGAAAAGGCGGGAGTATGTAAGGCACCACTAATTTATGTCGGTTCAGGCTGGTCAGGC